CAGCAGTGAGTCAAGCTTGGTACTTCACACTAACCTTTCCTGACAACAGCTGAAGCTKTGCTGGTTACCTTCTGTCTCTGAAAGATTAAGGTCTCAGCTTCAGCTGTGATCTGTTTAAGCATGTTTTTCCATGTCTTTCACTAACTTTGATTTCCATGGACTCTGTGTAGGTCCGTCAGTAATGAGCTGTTAAGCACTTTGCAGAGGAAAATCAAAGAACACCATGACCCTCATTAAAGCAGCTGCAGGAGGGGGGAGAAATAAAAACACTTCAAAATCCAAACCCATACACRTTCCATTGCTCATCTTTCTCCATTGATGCCATAATTTAATTTGCTCTCTACTAACCAGGGTGACCACCATGGGAGAAGTGACCTGCCTTTTTGGTACTATCAGAGTTGAAAGTAGTTTTGGCAAAAAAAACTTGTAGATCAGATTTTCTATTCTTAAAGAATAAATCTTAAGAACTCCAATGTCTGCCGGCTATTTTTCCATGCCACATTAATTGTTGCATGCACATRCAGTAATACTAAGTCAGAAAACTCTGTGGTAAGAGGCCAAATAAGAGCATCACAGAMAAGCTGCTGCAAAAGCTGTGCCTCACCAGCTGTCAGTAGAGAAACATAGTTTTGAAATTACCTTGTGTTTGTAGATACTTTTAGATGGCACACARAGTGCACTGGCATTCAAACTCTGGGTTCAATGGCACCTTTTTTTCAGAGCAGCACACAATGTTGCAAGGCACCTGAGCTATACACACTCCCCTTAGCTGCGGGGCTGAGCTTCTCAGTAGTAATGGAATGGGAAAAAGGGGAAAACAACCCATGCAAGTTTTCAGCAAATGTCACTGAAGTTTTGAATAGCACACACAGCTTGGGTGATGCTCTGGGCTTTTCACATACAGCCCGTGATGTCACGCTGTGGCTGTGACATCAGCACAGCTCTGACCCAGGAGCTCTGCCCACGCAGCTTGACTCAATATTTAGTTCTGCAGTTTTCCTACTCCTTCAGAAAAAGATAACTGGGACATTATGGTGCCAAGTGTCATTCCACTTCCAAGCTCAAGCATATGTACCAAACACCTCCTTTTTAGTGATAACTTGCCGGCTAACTCGTCAGTGTCTCTACTGTGCCACTGCTGCGTGCAGGGAGGTTTTTGACAAACTGGAAACACACCTACCAAGGCTGGGTATTAATTCTTGCAGTAATGAAACATACTTATTTCCTTTATCTTTTTTTTTTCTATTTTAACAGCAATGTAAAAAGAGAAAATAATTTCAAACTAGCATGACATAGAAGTCTATGACCTCTGCCAGTATGGATATTTAGGATGAACTGCATGAGCTTAGATTTTACCTGGTGTTTATGCCCAACCCCTCCTAATGCTCAGCTGGAACCATGCAGAATCAAACCTATCCACTTGGGTCAGAATTTTCCCACATGCCCACAGAAATACAAGTGAAAATCATCACCCAAATTTTGCTAATTCACATAATCCCTTTCTCAAGGGAATATGTGCTTGTCTGAAACTAGCTAGGGGAGAGCCCCAGGGCAGCACAGGATGAGAAAAATGGACTGAGTCTTCAGTTAGTGCTGCCTGAAAATATCTGTCTTTCTGTACAGCAATATGTGCAGCATTTATCTGTGGGAGTGTTGTTCACTCCTGAACTAGGGTATGAGCACCCAGCTCAGGTAAGCAGCAGTGACCTAGTTACCTGCAGAGACTCCCCGTGCTGTACTCGCTGCRCCCTCAGCGAGAAGGATCACATGGTAACATCAAACCGAGCAGTGAAGCTGAATCCAGGTCTGCAGCAGGCCAGCAGCATCCTCTTACACTCAGCAGACACACTCTGAAGCACAGAAGACTGGCAGCAAGTAATTATCTCCCTCAGCTGAGGTCTTGCCTATACTACAGAGTGCTGTTGCCTATAGCACAGAATGCAACTGAAACAAGTGTGGGCCAACCCGCACCAAAGCCAATCCAAGAAATTGAATCTAATAAATTCATCCAGTGAGTCCAGGAGAAGATAAGCACAGGTTTCAGCCCCAGCCAGCAACACGAGCACAAATGCAGGAAGCCCAGCAGGTTGCACATCCTGTTCCACAGCATCACCAGGGCTATTCTTAGCTGCAGGAGCTGGTGCAGGAGGGAAATGCTGGGAAGCCGACCAATGCTCTTAACTAGAAACAGAGCTTGGGTGATTGGGGGCGGGGGGAGAGGAATTGCCATTTGGTCTCAGCAATACTTTAAGGTTTGTGTTGATTGTCACAAAAAAAAACCCCAAAAAACAAAACAACAAAAAAAAACAAAACAAAACAAAAAAAACACCAACCATAGATAAACCAATATATATCTATATAAATGCTAGCCGAAGTTTCAGTGGCAAGGCTTTCATGCCAGCTTTGGGATGCCAGCACAGATCAGACTGAGAAAATGCCTGCTYAAAGTGTTTGTCTGCCTGGAGTCAGACACTTCCACCCTGCCCTTCTCCTGTGGCATTAGCTCCTCTAATGGAAAAGTATCAGAGTTCTGGGAGCCGGATCTGGTCCTTGTGGTCAGGCAACTCTCTGGGGTAGGAGAGGAATAATATGGGGCAAAGTACRTGTAAAAGCAAAAGCAAGCTATACACCTGAAGTTGCCCTTCCTACTATTTTAAAATCCCCACAYCAGCATGTCTCATAAAGGATRTTCATAGTAAGTTTAAATCRCATCTTTTCATGAAGAGGTAGAAGCAGCTTCGGAAAATAGCAAAACTTAAACTCACATGCAGTGCTTACAGCATAACCAAGCATACCCTCCTGCACATATAACTGATTATATCAGTTATATTATATATACTGGAATCACTTTTCCCTCTTGAAGCAGAAAAAGGAGCTGCTGAAGCTGCACCAGTGAAGGGCTCCAAAATKAACTCATTGTTGCAAGCTTATTAACAGCTCCAGGCAGGTATTGGTCACCATCCTGCCCTCCGCAGTACTAGTGCTGGCAGMTGCAGTCAGTCCTTTTCTCCCAACAAACTGTACAACCTGCAATGTTTCTGAATTGAAACAAATGAAACTGAAAACCACCAAAGCATCTTCTGCAGCTTTCTTCCAAAAACACTGAAAAAACGGTATCAACTCCTATTAGGGAGCCTACCTCATTGACTCTTAAATCAGGTATTTAACCACAGCCAAATCACAGGTCAAGATTTTTTGTTCTTTTCAAAAGGTGTTTTCCTTCAAGATAAAAAATGCCTTTTGTATAATTAACTCTTCACAATACTAGAACTGARCAACTATTCTTTTAATTACATCTGGTACTCAGACAGTTGGAGGCCAGGACTTTACAACCCATTTACCAACCTCCTTTTCTATTTGTGCTCTTTGCATTTGTTCCAAGGTTCTGGGAGATGGTGAAAGTGCATTTTTAATAGTTAAATTCCTTCCTAGGAGCTGATCTGAGAAAGAAATCCCAACTAAATGTATTTGATAGTCAAGGGCTCTGTTTATTTTCTCAGCACTTTAATACTTGAAAAAAAAAAAAAAAAAAAAAAGGAAGCAAAAAAAAAAGCATCATTCTTTATTTTAAAAGAAGGCAAAAAATATCATCAATGAACAAGCTATGCCAATTATATTTTAACATTGTTCAGAAACCGGATCCAGAACATGAAAAAAAAAATAGAAGCCAAATTAATCCCATGTGCTTTTTGGAGACATACAGATGAAAGCTATTCTTCAGCTTTGTGGTTTTGCTCTTTGACTAGTTAGACAACACGGTGAGTGCAAAAAATATAAATGTGAGCCTGCTAAAACATGGTGCTGTACCTCATGGGCAGCTAACCACACAAGGCAAAGGTCACAAGAAATAATCAGACCTTCTGTTATCAGCAAAGCTACGTTTGATTTGGAAAATTGTCAAGTCTGGCTTTAGCTCAGGCAAATGGAGCATCCACCTCTCTCTGTCTAGCAGAGGAAGGAAAAACCAAAGATACTGTGGACCWGAACAACTTGAATGCATACCTAAAAAGGGTGTAACTGATGCTATGCTATGGAACTAAAATAGTCTGAGCATATTTATATGCTTTTAAATATAGTTAGCAGTATTTCCCATTCCCTCCATGTGGAACTTGGAACATCTAGTTACAGAATTCACCCCCTCTGTTCCCCCCAGTCTCTCCATAGCTGAAGAGATTAGAAAGTGCATCAAAGCAGGGGGCAGGGGAAGGAGAATGGCAAGAATCTTTATCCCTCCTCCCCAAACTCCACCGGGCAGTGTTTAATAAATTCAGATGGCCCGATTTCAGAAGCAAACAGCAACGTCAGTTTAGCTAAACTTGTTAACAAGTCTTAGTACACTCAGTGGGCATTTTTCCTCTTATTTTAGGAGAATGAAGAAAAGGAATAAATCCTGKAGTTATATCCAACTGACAGTATTTCTACAGCAAATTTAGAAATACTATAGCAGTCCTGATTTTAATGCACCCATAAAATCTAGGCACTTTCTTATAAGTCAGGCTGCATGGGCAGAAGCTTTGGACTCACTCCCACAAGTAATTCCTAGTGTGCAAGTAAGCACTCGTCAGCCCRATTAAACCATTTAATACAGAAATTTTCAGGACTGAGCCCTTGCCATGACTTTTGGGGAGTCACAAGTTGGGGCTGGTTCTTTTACATAACTCTGTGTATGTCCATACTGCACACCGTGATGTGGTAACTACAGATATTACCAAAAGCCCACACTGGGTGTTGAAAGCAATCAAGCTACAATTATTAGGAGTTCCACAGAAACAATTTACTATGTTAAAAAGAAAGCCTGATGGTACTGTGGCTAGCCCACTGWGTGTCTGAATTAGTGCTGCACTGCACCTTAGGTGCAGACATAATGTAGGAAGTGATTCTAAAATAGCATGTTCCTGGATGAGACATGAAGAGTAAAATATTTCATCCAGTGATGTCTGGTACATCTCTGACACATTTAATAAGAAGCCTAAACAATATCTAGACACTGAAGCACAAACTTATTTTTCCTTTAAACCAGTGTTCTGTAATTGTTTTTATTTTAAAAATTCAGGAATGTGATACACAATACAATTAGCTCCCCACCACTGCAGTGTTCACTTACATGAGATTCACTAGTTTCATGCTTTGTGGGAAAAAAAAAAAAAAGAGAAAGACTGTGCAGTGTTTTTGAATGCTCTTATTATTAAACTGCAATCTTCAGAACAAATTAAGTCTGTATAACCCCAGACATTTCAGTGAAAAAAAAAAAAAAATCAAGCTATTTCAAAAGCTAGCGGGCTACAGTCAGGTCTCCTACAGCCAGGACAGAGAAATTGCATTCCTCCTGCTGCACAGCCACCACCTTGTCCTCACTCTGTGCTTTCAGGGAGTTTAGCATCGAGGGCTAAGGAGACWAAAAGGCTCTGGTAACATCAGCTGGCACTGCATGTGCAAMAGGGCACATGACAGAGAGGCCACASAACTCCCCCTTCTGCCCCCATCATCATCACCTCTACATCCTATCCTAATATTTAAAATAATGAACAGGAGAGCTTTTTGTCTTTTTAGATAGTCATTGCCTGCAATGGACACAGAAATAGAAAAATATTACTTCTGACACACACAAAAAAAGATTAAATAGTTTAAAACTGGATTAGTGACTACARCTCCATCTATTCAGATGCATTTACTGAGACTATTAACCACTGATGGTAATTGTTATGATTAAATAGCTGCCCTCTTTTTATAAGAGCAACAGGAGAGAAGTCAATCAGGCTTCTGAGTGCTACCACGGTTTGATTTGTTGGTATTTTGTTAAATAAACTAAAGAGTAGTAGTTCTATGGTGCGTTAGTGATATACAGCAATATATTCATACTAATGATTGCAACCAATCTTAAACTAGTGATGAMACTAATTAGTGAAAGTTCACCACAGAAAGCAAAGATACACATTTTTAAAAAAATAGTATTTTGTTAATTTCAAAATTTACTTGGTTAATACTCTGTAGTATAGTAGCAGTGGTAGCATACTCTGCAAACATAGTCTCATACAAGATCTCATTTAACAGTCAACTCTAGATCATATACAGGTAACAGAAAAAGAGTTAAGGTAACTCAGATGGAACAAAAACATATATAAATACTATATTAATACATTTAAGTTAGTTTATGAGACTATACAACAAGCATAAAGACAGAATAAGGTGAGTAATGCTGGTAGCTGCGAAGCACCAACATCCCCAAGCCAGCACAAAGCCACGCTGACCCATCCATGCCCCTCAGCTTCCTGTGGATGCATCCAAGCAGCCCAGAGGCAAAACCCCCGGGCAGTGCTGTGCTRCAGCCAGGCAAGGCACCCTGCGATGGGGCTCCCTGGAAGCAGAGCCAGCACCTCCTTGCCCGTGCTTTGGCACACAGCCTTTGGCCAGAGCACGGTGTGAGACATGGGGCTGGTCTTGGCTCCGCAGACCACACGGCTAATGCACGACACTGGGAATCCACCCATGGATAATCGAGAGTTGACTGCAACGTGCTGCTGAGAGCTTGGCTAAGACCACTGACATGACTTGGGCCAATCCAGGTCCGATGAGCAGCGGGACTATTTTGTACTATTTAGGAGCAATTATGATGCAAGACACAAATTAGAAATGCAAACTAGGGAGGTGTTCTGTATCTGGAGGCAAAGCTACATTCCCTTCACTAACAAAACATTCTTTTTTAAAAAATCTACATTTAAATACTGGTAAAAACCTGAAAACCACAGCATCAAAGAATTTCATAAGGCCAAAACTATCCTCAATTCCCTCTGGTTGTGCCTAGGTATTGCAATACATTTGCAGAAGTAGCAAATGCCAGATATTATACTCTTTCTAGTGCCTTCCAGTAACAGATCTCAGAGCTCTTCACACAAGAGTTAAGCCTCACAACACCCCTGTGAGGTAGGTATTATCCCTATTTGAAGACAGGGAAACTGAGGCAAAGTGTTTATCATGTCCAGAGTCATAGAGCAAACAATGGAAGATCTGAGTTGTTTTCCAGTTTTGCACATAGTAGCCATCCATTAATCACAAGACATTAGTTCCCATACATAACATGAGAGTGGATCAAAAGGGTCAGGGTTTTACACTAGATTTACTGTATGTTTTATCTTTCAACTCTCATCTAGTCTCTGCCAAATTCAGAGTCCACAGAGCAATTTCTCCTGTCCTAAAGGTGCAAGTTGGCAGCATACTGCAACAACTTTTTTAGAGCCAGTTGTCAATTAACTGAGTCAAGATTTTAACCATAGATTTGACCACTGAATAAGTGAAATTATGTGATACATAAACATCTCAAAGTGTGAAATACAGTGAATGAAAGCTTACTCCCTGCCCAACTTCCTCAAAAGTCAGTGGAGGGCTTCTGAGGACACAGCAGGGACCAGGACTGCAGCCACTGCAAGTGTTTACACACACACTCAGCTAGAAGCAAAATGCACCATTACATTAGTTGTTGGGGAGCTGCTGTCTGTGCTTGAAAGCATGAGTTATACTGTCGCTACTCGGCAGACCTTCCCCGACAGAGCACTTATTGGCATGACTAATTATTTTATCTTAGTAAACTCAGCATCAGCTAAATATAAAGCTYCAGCTCTTTATTCATAGCACTGTTGAGTCGAGGATTCTTTAAACCTCAAAGACTTTCATGACCAGACACAACTTGGAAGTAAGGGAAAACAGCAGAAAATCTGTAAAATGTCAAAGTCTGCACTACTTTATCCACCCGTCTCATGTCTTGATCACACTTGAACTGCCATTCAAAACTGCCATACTGAAAAAAACCCCTTCCACATCTGTTGTTTTCAATTACCTCACTACCTTACCAGAAGAAGAGGGGACAATTTCTGACAATTACATGATGTTCTCTTTAAAATATGCTGTGCGATAAATTCACTAGAAAAGCCTTCACATTACATAGCTTTAAGAAAAATATGTGAAACAGCAAAGTGGTTTCCAGTTTTTAGAAGTTATATCTTTAAAAATGTTCTATGAACTTTGGTTTTCTTAGGGCTTCTAAATAAACAATATATTAAAGTATCTACAAATCAAATATTAAAGGAAAAAGTAGGTCCAAGAAATCTGTAACACAAATTGAGTTCCTACATGCTTATCCCTCAAATACCTTTTCACTGGAAAATAGTATCTTAATTTGAAGCACAGCAAAAAGTGTCTCTGCTGAAATGTTGCAACTAGTTTTCTGAGTGTTACAGCATCGGTGCACTTTCTGTCTGTCTCAGTCAAACAAAGTCAACACAAACACATTGTATCATGACAGTGACATTATATTCTTTAAAAGAAGCATTCTATATTTAGCAATATGACAAGAACAACGACTTCAGCAATTACACTACTTGGCAAAATTGCATCTCAAACATCTGTCTCTTCCTCTTGCAAACACAGCTGTTGACAAAGTCACAACTCAGGTGTAGCACCCTTCAGGGAGTTACAAAGATGACTCAAACTGCTCATTTTGATCGATGTTCGCCTCCAGCTTCACTGAAGGGATGCTCTCCGACTTAGTCCTCCTTGTCTTCGGAAAATCAATTACAACTTCTGAACAAGTAATACTAACTGACGAGGATTTTTCTGTCTTCTTTGCAGTACTATCTTCTCCTGCTCCGCAACACTGCTTCAAAGCACACTGAGTCCTGCAAGGCAACTCGCATCTCACTCTCCCTGACTCGGAGCCAACGCTGGCAAACTCAGGCTGAATAGTAGTTGCATGAATCCCTTCGTCGTGAAAGATCTCTTTGATGCGCTTCGCCACCATCATGTATGTGGAAGGGTCAGGACACTTGATGTGAGCAGTGCCAATGATCCTACTGCCTGCTAGCTGCCAAATGTGTAATTCATGGATTGCTTCAACTCCTTCGAGGGTACGTAACTTAGAGTTCAAAGAATGAACATCTATTTGTTTGGGAACAGTCTGTAGAAGGATAAGGGCTGACTCCCTAAGTAATGGGTAAGTTGTGTAAAGGAGTATACAGACCATAATCAAGCAAAGGACAGGATCTAAATATAGCAACCAGCAAGGACCAGCCACCATAATGCCCTCTGGCACGGTTGTGTTAACTCTGCCAAATGCTTGGGATAAAGTAGCATTTTCCATGCAATGATCATTGACACATGGATTAAAGCAAGGCCTATCTTCGGGGCATGGATTCCACAACCCATAAAAGAGCAAGGCATTCACTACCACAATTACTGAACCTAAGGCATCTCCAAAAACATGCAGAAAAACTCCACGCATGTTAAGTTGTGCACTAGAGTCTTCTTCAACCTCCTCTTCATCCAGAGAATAATGGCCAGCATTCCCATTCACTTGAAGGTCATTTATGTCATCTTTCATATCACCTGACAAAAAAAACAACAAAACAATTAGGCATGAGCTATAATATGGCACATTACTGTAATTCCTTATAAAATAATATCCAACAGTAAGCAAGCCACAGTGAGTATGAAACTGAAAAGCAACTCAACCCACACACTTAGCAACATCTTCTCTAGCTGAGAAAAATTCAGTTGTCCCAATAAGTGATCTAAATAGTCTAGAAAGCAACTGTTTCTACATGCAGCTTAAAGATGCAGAGTGGCAAAGAATGAAGATGACCACATTTTAACTAATTCTACTGAAAAACTACTTCCACCTTTTCTAGTTGTTTAACCATTTGCCTACTCACTGTTTCTTACACAAAAAGCAGAACTACAACGCATATAGAAAAAAGCTGGTTTAAGCAGCTTAGTTAGTTACTTCTTAGTTGTTCCTTCTTTTGAAACACCAGTAGACTGATCACATTGCWAAAATCTCTCTTTAACCACAGGACTGCATTGCTATTTCATATTAAAATTTGAAGCCAGAAGCTCAAAAGCTGTATAGTAGCTTTTGAGAATAYAGCTGCGTAGTAGCTTCTTTTCAGGTTCACCAGTGCATTTTCAAGAGGCTTCTGAATTCAAAGAAAAGGAAGTTTTTTCAAGATGGTGCATGGAGTCAGCAGGACCTTAAGATACAATCAGCTGTAAGTTTGGGTCTAAGACACAGAATTTATCAGCAGACTTGACCAAAGGGAAGTGCAAGTTATCACTTAKCATAGCTCTCAGAGGCTATGAACTACCGTTATTCATATTTCAGAATAAATAAATAATAAAATTACATTGTTTATGCAAGTGACACATAGGTGTTGAGTGACTTACAGCTTCTGATGTCCAAAGCCATATATCAGAGACTGTGCAAAGTGTAAATGAAYGTTTTGGTCCCCTCCTTTGTCAAAACTGTCTGCAATATTTACCACTCCAACAAAACTAACCAATTACATGGGAATAAATACACACATCATTAAAAAGAAGAATGTTCTCTGAAAGAGTATCATCTTCCAATGTTCAAATTCGAGAGACTTGTACATGATTAACCTTCTGCTTTTCTTCTGAAGTTCTTCTTTGGATACTTCCAGCACTAAAGAAATGCAACAGGCACTGGCCCCTGGCCCAACAAATTGAAATAAGGAGCTCTTACTGTTTTTGAGGTTATTGAGTTCAGAGCTTTGTAAATATTAACACATTAATAAGATGTGCAACTTCTGCTGTTCTGCTCTTATGGCTGCAATTCTGCAATCACAGAGTGTGCACAAGTCCTCTCCTCTCTGAAGAAGGAKTGGGTTCCTACCAAGGCTGAGTTCCAAGCTCTAGCTCATTACCTCACCCAGTACGCTTCTGCCCTGAAGCTCCAGCTACATTTTCCACACTACCTCTAGGAGTTATGGAACAAGGGACCTGTAACTTTCCAGAGAAGTAAATAAATTAGAGGGAAATATATTAGGTTACAGAGTTCAGACCTCAAGGTCCATGAGGAGAGCAAGGAAAGAAGAATGCTCTGCTCTGAACCAAGTACTTGGAATAATGGAGATCTGAAGAGTCAGTACAGCTATCTGTAAGAGTGGGTGACAGGAAACAAAGTTCCAGAAAGCTCCTTTTTTTTTTTAATGGTAAATGGTTAAAACATGTCCATTTGAAATACAGTCATAGAAACCTAACAATAAACTGATTATTTTACATAAAGTGCATGCACAGCAATGCCTAGGCAGGACTARCCCCTAAGGCTATCCCTAGCTTTCCACTGCCACCTTAGGAATCAAGGACAACCCCTCTTTGCAATTTCCAGTGAAGACGCAGGACCACCCTAGTTTTCATCTATACATCTTACATCTTCTCCCAAATCTCCAGTCACCTTTRCCTGTAACTTTTAACTATGAATAGCTCCATCCATTACATAATCATGACAGGGCACAGAAGGAAATACAAACTTATTTCAAAGTTTCACTGTGACCAAAATTATGCCCTACTACCACCTAAATACCCACAACAAATTATTTGTTACTGCCAGAAGCACATCCATGAGACATTCCAGACAAGTTAGCTTACAACAATATGCATTTTAAACCATGCTGTAAGGTAACCTTTTGGTCTAACTAGTCCAAAACTTGGCTAAAAGCACAAGTGTTCACCAGGCAAGAATAATTCCCAAGCCAAGATATCTRTGACACCAAGAGTTAAGGGAATTTTACATTGTTTGAAACTAATCATTAGGATACCTTTRTTGGAACTAAACCAACATTAAGAGCTTATTATGTGGTCAAGAAAATGGTGGAGTGTATTCAGAGGAACTTTCCTATCCTCTTGAAAAACGTCTTTCCAAAGCGAACTTGGAGTTGGCGAAACAGAGACTAAGTTTCTCAAATGTGAATTGGAACCTCTGACCTATAAAACCTGAAACGGTAGCAAAGTTCACTCTGATCAATTAAAGCTCCCTTTAAGCTGAAACAATGGCCTGCTGATGTCACCCAATAACTGAAGGAGAGAAATTGGTTCCAAAGCCTGAAGTCCATTCCTCCTGGTGACAAGGATGCCCTAGGAACAGAGAAGTGCCGATCACACACCTTTCTCTCTGCTGGCATGCAGTACTTGGCGTCGACCAAGCAGGTTCAAAATGAACTATCCAGGCTTCTGGATCCATTAAAAACTAACCTGACAAATTTTTACCTATGGAAGTTTGACCACAACTGGGAAGGGAAGATTTTAAATTTATGTCTGTGTGCAGGTGAGTGGGAAGGCTCCTGCTTTAGAAAGCCAAAGAAAACTTATTCCAAGACACCACATATGTGCCCTGACACCAGCAAGATCCACATTCCGACTTCCACAGTTCTGACTGGCAGTTTCCAAGACTTCTTCCTATTAATACCGATGCCATGAAGAAGCACAATGCTACTGCAGCGGAATAGAGTTCAGTATATTTGGGTTAGATGGAGAGTAGCTTCCCAGGTAGCTGACAACTGACCAAAGGAGCGATCCAGCTGCCGGGACCGAGGCGCTGAGCCGTACTCCATTTGATGTGCCGCCAGGTCGGATGGCATTAGGGCAGCGTCTTGTGACAGCTCGTGTCGCTAGGCAAGAAACGCTTGTCATGTGCCTTCCCTTGGAGAACCAACTTTTCCCARGGCAAACTGCTTTATCCTAAGACCCTTTTACACTCTGACCTGTGCAAGACTAACACGCAGCTTAGGGCATCCGAAGGAAGGCGTGAGGAGGAGACGCGACAGCCATGTGCCCCAAGAGCTGCTAAGAAAGTTTCTCGCCTCTTTCCCAGAACTGGGGACAGATGGTCCTCACACAGCTGGCACCAGGTGGGACCAGGACGGCCACCGCCTTACTCAGGGAAAGGACCCCACCCGCTTTCCTACGCTTGGATAAGGCAGCGCTTACACCGCGGGGCTTACCCAGCTTCTCCTGGTTGACTCCGTTGGAGCTGCTGCACTTCTCCACCAAGGTGCTGGTCTCCTCGCGGTGCAGCGCAGCCTCCCCGTCCCCGGGCGGCTGCTCGGACTTGGAGCCGCCGCGGGGATGCTGCTGCCGGCCGCCGTGCGAGTGCCCGTGGCCGTGGGCGTGCCCGTGGCCCCCGACGCCGTGGTGGTTGAACAGGCAGAGCCCCAGCAGGTTGATGATGAGCCCCGCCACCCCCACGGAGATGACCACCAGAGGCTGCTGGATCTCGTGGGGCTCCGTGAAGCGCTCGATGGCCTCCAGCAGGATGGTGAAGCAGAGGGCGGTGAGGAACACGGCGTTGACGAGGGCGCCCATCACCTCGGCCCGCACCCATCCGAACGTGTTCTTCTTGGTGGCGCGGGTGCGCTGGGCGAAGCGCACGGCCACCAGCGCCACGACCAGGGCCATCACGTCGGAGAGCATGTGGAAGGAGTCGGAGAGCATGGCCAGCGACGACGTGACGCGGCTCACCGCCACCTCCACCACGAAGAACAGGAAGGTGAGCGCCAGCATGCACAACAGCCGCACCCGCCGGTTCTGCCAGCACCGCGGCCCGCCCGGACCCGGCGCCGCCATCCCCCCGCACATCTCGGCTGCCCGGCGGGGGCGCGAGGAGCGCGGCGGGCGGTCGGAGCCCCGAACGCTCGGCCGCTCCGCTGCGCTCCGCTCCCCCCGCGCCGCCGCCGCTCCCTCCGCAGGCGCCGGGCGAGCAAACTTTGCACCCGAGCCCCCTCACTCTTTTCACACGGAACCCGAGCGCCGCCTCGGACACGCCCCCGCCCGTGCCCCATTGGCCGGCGCGCCCCGCCCGCCCGGCCGTGCCCTCCCGCCCCCGCGCCCGGTGCCACTCGCCATTGGCCCGCGCGCCCTCGCGACAGCGAGGCCCCGCCCCTGCCCAGTAACGCCCATCGAGCCGCCCGTGCCCGAAACGGAGAGTGGGCGGGCCGCGCGTGACGCGCCGGCGAACGACGGTCGCCATTGGCCCGTCCCGCCGGCTTTGCCCTCCCGCCCCGCCCCCGCAGGCCCCGCCCGCGGCGAGCGGGACTCGTGCAAAAGGTGCGCTTCACACGGCCCCGGCCCGGCGCGCGCCGGGGGCGGGGCTCCCCTGCGGGCCGCGGGGGCGGGGCCCGGCCCKGCCTGAGGGGCGCTGTGACGTCACGCGTCCTGAGCTGGGGTTCGGGATAGGATTTGCGCCTTTTTTGTGAGTTTCTGCAGGGGCGTTTCTATTTATTTGCTCTCCTGTTCATGCCAATGAGGACAGTAAGATAAGTGCGGACGCGATCAATAATAACTGCTGAGTAGCCAAAAAAAAATTGGAAAAGGAGAAGTTTTGCTTGAAGTTTTGAAAGGCAATATCATATATCGTATCATTTCAATAAAATAATTATATAATCATTGTTATAGCATTAAACAATAATTATTAAATATTATAATAATATTGCAAAAAATGTGTAAATACGATAAGGTCAGTTCCTGGACCCAGTTGGGTTTATTGTGCTTGTAGTAAGGAAGGGGAAAGCAAGTGTTTTGAGACATTCAGAAAAACTGCAGAAATGTAATCACAATTTTTTTTTCATATCTCCAAAATTATAAAAAGGCAGAGCTGGCTTCTTACTTTGCCGAGTGTGTTCCAGAGAATCTACAAACATGGCAGCAAGAGAGGGAGTGTCAAAGAATATYCCTTGAGCAGAGCATGGAGAGAAAACAAGCAGGCCTAGCTCTTTGCAGCTGGAGAGGTGTAGCTGTGTGTGGGTCCACAAAAGCGGTAAGAAAACTAGTGCTCTGAGAAAAAAGATCTAGCAAGAATGCAAAAAGTTGTTGTTATACTTGGATATTTCAAAGGGATTGTGTTTCAGGGTCCATGCAAAGGTTSCTGACTTCATTTCAGTCGTTAAATGGCAGAAGGTGCTCACATTTCCACAAGGAAAGCCTTATCAACAAGCGTGACTAGGAGCAGTCATTCAGGACGGGCTTCCCCTGTGCTCAGCAGCATCCCCATGAGCCCCCACCGGGATACCACATTGTTATCCGTGTGTGCCATCCCCCCATCCCCTCACCTTTGCTTAACCTTCCTCGCATGGCAGAGGTGGYTTAGGCAGTGCAGGCCCTGCTGTGCTGACCTGTGACCCTGAACCCTGCTTTCTGTGAGATTATCTTCRTGTCAAAATCTAGGTAGGAGCCCACACGAAATTCTTTAACCACCATTGTAAAGAGAGACAGCAATTAGATTGCTGTAACATTGTCCTCACCTGCCTAGCTTCCCGTATGCCCTAACGTCACTTACTGAGAAGTAAATAACCAGGAAGCTGACCAGCAATTACTTGGAAACGGAACATGCCCATGGTGTGTCTTCCTCACTCCTACCCAGGGCATTAGTTAACAAGGAAGAAATGCCCAAATTTAGGATATWTAGGTCAAAGAAACTGGTACAGTTCAAACCTCTTTTAATTTCTGCAAGTKAGGTGACTTATCATTTTACAGGGATCGCTACTAATCCAATGGAATTTAGCTAGGAAAGGAAAGGAGGACAACAAATTTGGTGTCTCTYGTTGGCTGAGCTTCAGGAATTAGTCAAGCTGAGTCTTAGTTGGCTGTACCTGTGGTGTTATCATAGTTTTCTTGATTAAAAGTACTCAGTCCCCTCCTGAGGCAAGTAAACGGGATGTCAATATCAGTACAACACTGATTAATACAACTTCATTATAAACTGTGTCAAGAGCTGTGCTTGATTTAAGGAGGGAAGTTAGGGCTTTTTTGGCTTCTTTCTCAGTGTGTAAATGATGTCCAGACCAATCTGTGATCCTTTTAACATCTCTTCAGTGTGGGACCCCCTGATCTTCTCAAGGACACCCACRCTCCTGGTCAGTGTGCTACGGCCTTCCCCTTACAGGATGGTATGTTCAGCCACATCCAGGGACAGCTTTCTTTTCCTACTATACCAGGCCAAATGCTGAATTCCTCTTGGGGCCAAAAGCCACAAGACATGGACCATATACCCCAGGAGAATGGGAGGGTGTGGTTTCTCCCCAGGCAGGGAAGAAAAATGGTTCTTCAGGCCTTCCACTGCTCCCTGATGAATAGGGCTGGGAGTATAGTTTTGACCCAGCCACCGTTGTTTCCATGGTCATCGAACACAGGGACTTTGATGAATGATCCCTGTGGAAGCCCGGTCCCGCTTCTGGACATGCCAGGCACAGGMCAGCAGCTGGACCACACAGGAGCTYACACTGCTACCTCTTCTCCACGCTCTTTTTCGTAAACCAGTGGGCTGCATGCTGCTGTTTCCAGGCTTTTCTATTGTGTTGCCATACACTAGCAGCCAAGAGGAACAGGGACAGTTCCTTAACTCAGGGCTGCCCATCTGGCAACATCATCSATTTTAAGATTAATGGGAAAGTGACTGATCAAGGTAACTAATGAAACCATAAATGGTGTTTTAYGGGAGACACAGTGTTGCTCATGCTTTTAAGGAGAATACTTGGTCTTCAGAGTAGGGAGAACTCCGGGGTTTTTGTTGGTTKKTTTTTTTTTAGGCTTCCAGGCATTGTTCATGACTCAAAGAATTCTTTCTCAGCTCAGCTTCCGGTCCACACATGTGGAAGGACCCATCTAAAATCTGTTTACTTACCCTAAATGCTCTGTGTTCCAAGGGGATAAATTACTCTGAATGTCTRGCACACAGCTTCATCCCCCCCAGAGCCAGGTGACAAGTCTGAACAGAGAGCTGCTGCTTGTCACCTGTCCTGTGGTGAAACGTTTTGTACTGAGTCCTACTGGGCTCCTTTGAGCCAGCAGAGCACTGTGTGAAGAGCAGGACTTTGGTTGGGAGTTTTGCTATTACTCAGCATGTTTGCTGAGTAAATAAAGTCACTGCTGTTTCCCTTTGAATTTCTGTGCAGGGTTTCAAGTGGAGAGATCTCCACCACKGAGGACTCTTCATCACTCTACTTGGGAAAGGTGAAACCCCTCCTATAATCCTCCAGTGCAGTCACAGKTACAGAGCACGCTGCCTCCTTTTAACACCTAACTCTTTCCCTTTCTGTGCAGTCATCAGACCTGTCGGCTTTTAATGAAGGCTTGTGGGACTGTGGCAAACATGACTCTCTCTGTCTGTTCCACTTCAAGGCTGTCAGTGTTCATTTTAGGCTGCGTTTCTTGCGGGCAGTCTCTCTGGTAACTGTCCTTACAAGGTTTCTTCAAATTAGATGCAGTCAGSAGCACCAAAGCCAGCAGAAGCACTCCCTGTCCAGTTGCCTGCATAAACAGGGTTGTTCCTTGTAATGAAACACAACACAAATGAAAAGTGAGTGTTATTGCTCAGGTAGCTCTGTGTTGGATTCACTGTTATATACTGATTCAGGAAAGCAGCTTTATCCAGGAAAGGACTTAGACATGTGTTTGCAGTTAATTAAAAGGCTTCTTTGAACAGAGGCAAGTTAAGCATGTGCTTACATGCTTTTGTTTGCGACCAGTGAAGAAAGACCATAGCAGTAATTGGCACTGCGATAGGAAATGAAGGACACCTTGCTCTGTAAAGAGATTTCTTCTTCTACCTGGTTACTGTGTCTGTGGAATCTGGGCTCTTTGGAAGTCGGTGGCAGAATTCCAGGCACCTTGATAGGATCAGTATATCATCTGCTATAYTTCTGTACCTTGCAAAGCAGATTAAAAAAATCCACTTTTTTGCCTTCCAAAACATTTTCTCCCTAATAAAGAAACTGCTGCTTTTTAAAATATGCCTTTCTTATGTCCASTTTTGATCTTTCCTTTCTAGGTTAYTTGYTTTGTTTTCTTACTTTCAAGCTGTTCACTTGATCCAATGGCATTCATCGCCCTGAAACTGCTCCAGAACTCTGGGCACAATTAACTGTATGACCAGCCTGTAATTGTTCCTAATGAACAGGCATGCCCTTTTTGGTGGACTAAAGAGCATCTCCTGGCTGCTTTGATTACCAATTCGTCTGCTTATGATACAAATAGTATTTTCTTAAAATCCTCAAGTAGGCAGGAAAATTAGTTGCTCTAATCAGCTGTGAAGTTAATATTAATAAGTTCTTGAGCTAATGCCTTATTCAGACAACRTTTGAGTGGATCCTACTAGAAAAATCACCACCATATTAATCATTAAATGAAAAAGGTCTGGAAAATTCGTGGTGTTACTCACTTTTGCACAGAGTGTGGCTCTCTGATGGAAAGAGTAACAATGATTCAACAGGGATGGGAAAATTCTGTAAATGTGTAATTCTGGAATGAAAAAAATACCTTTGCAGCTGATTGGTTCATAACATTTTTAATTATTACCAAAATAAATTATTATCTCTTGTGTGGCATTTTTAATAAACCATACTGTTWAGGTCTGTCTTTTATTATCTTTAGAAAGAATATGAGAAGAAGCTAATTCTCTTGGAGCCATGATAATGAGTATCAACCAGTCAATGGGTAATTGCTGAGGACAGACACTGAGAGAGATATGTGCTAATCAGGTGGTGCCTGCTACACCTACTTACAGTATCAGGCCCTGTCAGAGAACTCACAGTACTTTCTGGTGCCTGAGTTGGTTAATTGGGGGCAGGGATTTCCTCTGTCACTGTAGGATGCTGAGTTTCATTGGTGTAGGATCTCTCAAGGTCTCTTGTTGGAAGGTCACTCAGGTCCTTTGAGGTTAAGTCCCTACAGGAACAGTTAATACTGTAGGMAATCATAAATGTGCATGTACTGGCATTGGAAAAGTAATTTCAAAACTAGTTCAGCAAGTGCAGTTCTTTGAGTTGTGGGAGGCTGCAGAGCACCTCCGTGTAATGCTGCARAGAAGCAATACCCTTTAGTGGCACATTTTGCCCTAAGGAACAGAGCTGTGCTGTTTTGTCTCCGTGTCTCCTGGGAGCTCGGTGACATCAAGGGCACATTGCAAAGAGCTCAGGGACTGAGCTGGGCAATGTAAGAACATGATATGAGAGCAGTGTTGTCTCAGAAGAGGAAGGTCCTCAGGCAGATTGGAATGGAAGGCATCGCCCTGGCTGTGTCTATGCAGAGTTTACAGGTGGTGCCTGGAGCAGCCATGCGTGCAGGATACRGCACATCCCATCATTGCTGTGTGAGACAGGCCTGGCTGCAGCATGGCACAGAGCCTGGTGGCACAGCATGTGCAGGGCATGCTCAGCCCTGTGCAGCACACCTGGACAGGCTCCTGCTCTGATCTCGAGGGCAACCTCAGGCTCCCCCTCCACGGCAGCCCAGGTATTCCTGGTGTTTCCAGCCAGCTCACCTACCCACATGCTGCTGCTCCTGCCACAACACACACCAGGCAAGAGCTGCAGCCCTCTGTCCTGACACAAAGTCTTTTCTGTGTGAAGTAATTCAAGTGGCTGAGCAATAGCATACTCATTTTACCATTTATGTATTAGGTATTTACTGTATCAGCTTGAGATAGATGCATTTCCCTTTATTACACAATAAATACTGATGCTTTGATTTGGAATGTGCTGCAATCCCRACTCTGAGACCTGCTGGACATCGCTTCTGTTCCCAGACACCAAATGTGGTCTTCAAATAAGGATGGAGACATGAAGGCCTCTTTTTAAGGATCAATTATATTTGATGTTTGTCAAATCATATCTTAAGGCAGTACGCATAGACATGTTAAGTTTATGTTCTGTAACTGCATCTATTAATTTTCAGAACTGCCTTCCACAGAGGCCATTTTGTTCTCAGATTAAGCTGGTTTAACTAAAAACTGTTGCCAAAAAGGGCCACCACAAGTCCCTT